TGCAATAAATTCTTCAAGTGATGGTGCCTGAAGTAACAAGATCAAAAACTAAAATAACTAATCTGAAAAAGTTATTACTTCTCACTTATTTTTGTCTTGATCATCTTTTATTTCAAGTTAAAATAAAAAATTTATGGTATTGTTTATTTTTAATACCTAATCATACAGTTGAGCGTTTGTAATATCTGCGTGGAATTGTATTGTAATTAACTTAATTTTTTTCTTTTTTAACTTTTTGTTTGATTGTTAATTTTTAAATAGTAATATTAACAAACAGTAATAATGTAAACGCCGGGGCTCGGCGATAAGAGAGTATATGTCTTCTTCTTGCTATTCGTTTTATATTTACTACCTCATTGTAAATTTGTCCAACTGTCCAAGTTGAAGTTTGTGCTTTTTTGACTCTTCGAATGCCAAGGACTCTGATATGTGTTCTTTTACAAGTCAGCATTGCTAGAGTAATGTTTTTGGGAGATGCAAAATAAGCGTTCCGATAAATCATTGGGTCAGTAACGTTGCGGTCCAAGTATGTGGATGGCTGAACAAAGTTCTTAAGGGTCTTCAAAGATTTTTCAAAGCAACCAGGGTAGAAGTAGGTCTGGAAGTGAGATCATCGAGGTGTTTGAACATTGTTGGAGAGTTAATTTGTTAAGGTGTAGATGGAAAACCGCCCATTGTACTGCTCTTCCGATTTTTAATTTAAGACAATGCAGTACTTCATTGCAAATTTCAGTATTTACAATCGTTCCTTCACAATCTAGAACAAAAAAATGGTTTAAACCTCCAGGCTCATCTACTGTGATATAGTAGTGAATACTTTTCATAATAGTTAACCTTGTTTCTGATTGGTGCATCATTCACGTTTACCAAAGAATAGTATCTCTCTTCAATTGTTTCTATTGACATTGTTTTGCTCGTTGGCCGTTGAAATAAAGACCTGTTAAATGATCATTATCAATGTTAAAACTCTGACTTTTAAGTTCTTCCATGGTTTGATACCTCCCTCTAGCAGTTTTATTTTATCAATTAAAAACGATGTATCCGATTCAGTGACAAGGCTTACGTTGTGTAAAACGTGAAACAAGCTATAGCACCTGAGGCTTGAAGCGATACCTCAAATCTTTGGATTCTTAAGACAATATTTTAAGCTTCCTTTGCATTTACTAAAGGATTAAGTCGATATTCTGGAGTTATAGTCATAGTCATCAAGCATTCCTCATCCTCATTCATTGCCTCGTCATTTTTTGAGAACCTTGATGTTGACAAGGGTTTATCGCCATCAGGCTGCAAGCAGTCGTAGCGCAGTACGCTAGTGCGCTTGCTTTGGAAACTAGAGATCCGTGGTTCAGCGCAACCTCTGGGCAAGTTTTATAACATTGGTAAGGAAAGAGGCGTGAACTTCCTTTCAAATGTTTTTTCGCGGTGCTCTATGTTAAAACCGTAAGGACTTCTTGGGACACCTAAAATAAAATTATATTGTAAATCCTTGCTTGAAACAGAATATATTGTCCATAAGGCATCAAAAATATTTTATATATAATATTTATATCACTATTTTGACTTTTTTTTTTAATATAAAAGAATTTAAAAGAAGAATAGAAACAGAAGCAATTATTCCAATGGAAAAATATACCCGGTTTTATAAACATGTTTAAAAAGTAAAACTTATAAAAATTTAAATGTATAAAAAAACACAGTGTATTTGACAATTTTTGTTTAATTAAAGACTCCTTGCTAAAAACAAAACATATTCATATTAATTACTGTTTAAAATTTGATGTCCGTGAGACGTCAAATTTTAATCAGTAATTAATCATACTTAAGTACAACTTTTGCACACTATCGCAATGTGCTGAGACACACACTTTTTTAAATTATTAAATTTTTTTAAATAATTGTAGTTTTTTTTTTGTTTTTTTTTATATTTGTTTACAGTAGTTAGTCGTTGTATAATTATAAAGAGATAGTATTTAAAAAAACTATAATAATAACAAAAATTACCTCTCAAAAATTTACAATGACAAACAATATAAACAAGGTAACTGAAAGAAGGCCGCCAAGATCTTCTCATCAGAATCTTAAACAAGCCGTTATTTAAAATGCATCAATAAACTTTTACGAGATAATACAAAAAATAAACTTCTTACAATAATGAAAGAAAATATAATTTATAAAGTATATTGACTAAAAAAAAACTTATGTTTAATAATAACAGAAAGTTTCAAGATGTTGCTATTAGTAGTACTAACTTTTAAGTTAATAATTATTTTATAGGGCATATTTATTGCCAGGTTTTAAAGTAAAGATATATTTAAAAACGTAAGGAACTAAATTATTTTTACACATATATACAAAACATGAGCTATTGAATACATTTAATTCATATATATTAAGTAATCTCATTTCATTTATTCATCAAAACGATCCGCAAAATAATTAATACGAATTGCGTACTTCTGACGGTTACTAAGACGTTTCAATCTACTTTTATCAGTATTTCCCAGCCAATATTTGCATAAATTAAATAGTTATGATTAAACGTGTAATAAAGTTGGGACAACAAGCTCTTTTTATTTAAAAAATCTCTAGTATTATAGAGAGTTCCAATATTTTTATAAATTTTGATACAAATGTATCAAAATTTCATGGAAATATCAATGTGATATTTCCATAAAATGTGTTCATTCAGGAAAACTCCTAAAAACCTTGTAACGTAGTCTTTTTTAATCTCACATTGGTCATTAAAAATTGGAGGAAAATTTATGGGACGATAACGCTTTTTTTTTCAGCGAATCAAAAATAGTATATTTTGTTTTATTAAAATTTATAGCCAACTGGTTATATGTGAACGAGGTAGAAATGTTTTTAAGCTCGTAATTTATTGTAGAAAAAAGTTTACAAATATTATTATTAGAAAGAATTAGGTTAATGTCGTCACTAAACATACAAGTAGATATGAGGCTTTATTCAAGTCATTAATATAAATCAAGAAAAAAGTGGCCTTAATACAGAAAATAAAATAATTAAACTGAAAAAGTCATCACTTCTCTCTTATTTAAGTCTTGATCATCTCACTTTTATTTCAAATTAAGATAAAAAATTTATGGTATTGTTTATTTTTAACATCTTATCATACTGTTGAGCGTTTGTAATATCTGCGTGGATTTGTATTGTCAGAGGCGATTCTGCGAATAAAATAAGGGGGAGGTGATTCCTCAAAAAGTGCCGACTAGCTTCTTACTACCGACTATAACTTGAAGATCACCTTCTTTGGGGAAGGGGTGTAACACCCCACATACACACCCCGTAAAGTCACATCTGTGTATTATAATTTACTTAACTTATTTCTTGTTTAACTTTTTGTTTGATTGTTAATTTTTAAATAGTAATATTAACTAAAAGTGATAATGTAAACGGGGCACGGTGATAAGAGAGTATATGTATTTATTTTGCTTTTGTTATTTATTTTATATTTACTATCTCATTGTAAATATTATAATGCGGCAAAAAAAATTATAAAAAAAAACATTGCTGGACAATCAGTCAATTAGGTTTTTGTAGTCGTTTGTTTTGACCTTTAGTTTTAAAGTACAGAACTTTCTGGTCCAAACATGTCCAACCGTCTCAATTGATGTTCGTGCTTTTTTGACTCTAGGAATGCTAAGGGCTCTAATATGTGTTCTCTTACCAGTCAGCATTGCTAGAATAATGTTTTCGGGAGATGCAAAGTAAGCGTTCCGAGAAATCATTTTTCAAGTCATTAATATAAATCAAGAAATCAAGAAAAAAGTGGCCCTAATACAGAACCTTGCAGTACATCACATGATATGTCTAATAAATCCTTTTGATAAACATCATTACAGGAAACATATTGTTTTTGGTTTGATAAATAACTTTCGAACCATTTTATTACCTTGTTATTTATTCCGCAGTATTTAAGTTTATGAAGATGGTATGATCTACTATATCAAATGCCTTTGAAAGGAATGTGTTGGGGATCTTTAAAAGAATTTCAGATCTTACGTACGAATTGAATGATGTTCCGTGAACTGTGTTTTTTGAAGCCAGATTGGTTGTTATATAATAGGTTATTATAATGTTATACTCTAATAAACATTATTTTTTCTAAAATTTTCAAAAATGTAGATAAAGCAGAAATAGGTCGACAGTTGATAATATTAGTTCGGTCACCTTTTTTCCCAGAACTTTTACGATTTTAATTGAACAAGAAAATTTTTAATGTATTGACGCTTTAAAAATTAAAGATAATATCTTCTGGTTGTTTAACAGTCTAAACTACATTAACATTTATGTCATTGTCACCAGTTTCTTTATTTCTTTTAAAGATTTGAAGGCTTTTTCAAACTCTTCAAAAAATATTTCTGAAGACAGTTCATTAGAATTAATGCAATCATTAATTGTTACTGGAAAATCTTTTAATTTACATCTTTGTCAGAAAAAAAGACCATTATATTGGTGGTAAAATTTTGACTAAAAGCAAAATTTCTGCTCTACCCCGAAAAAATGTAATTTTTCGAGTGCCCTACTATGCAAACTTATTTCTTAATTCAAATTATTGGGCACCACTTTTTCTATTTATTTGAGTTAAATTTCAATAAAATACTAAGTACTTACACTCTTAAGTAAAATCCATCACAGGTAACAAGAAGATTACTTTCTTAAAATCTTGTTAAATCGTATTTCAAACACTTTATAATCGTAACTAAAATATTTTCATTAACAAAATTAAATTTTAACGTCAATTTAATAGCTCATGACTCATAGCTCTGAAATGTTTGTCGTAATCAACACACTAAGTTGTTACCGTTGAGGGATTGTTATTGTAAAAATATCATCAGTTAGTTCCATTAACTGTTAGCTTGTTTTTAACAGTTAGTTCCTTTAACTGACTTTGCCAACCTAGTTTGTATAAAGCGATTCACTGTGCATTGGTTGAATAACTTAAATAAGACAAAAATTTAAAGAAAAAACAAAACAAATATAATTAATTATATTTATTAATAAATAGTTCTTTACTTGACAAATAACTTAATTAAATCAAAAACAACAATAAGTCAAGATCATATAAAAATGATATATCAAAATTATAAAGTTCTAGATTTAGATATTTTAAATAGAAAATGTTTATACTTTAAATATATGTTACACGTTAACTATTAAGTCAACTTTTTTCATTCAACTTTAGTGAGTTTGATTTATCTTCTCAAAAACGACAGCAAATTTTGAAGTAATAGTTACATAAAAATTGTTTTCACATTGAAAGTTTAAAAAAATAAAAACCATCGGTGTGTAAAAATGTTTAATAAGTTAATTTTGGAAAGTAACATTTTTATTCACAGACCAAAAAATATAGATACTTTTTTTTTAAAGATTGGAAATAGCAGAACGTAAATCCATTTTAATATCTCAAGGTAAAAACTGAATTCAAACTAAATATGATTTTCTCGAAGTTTCCAAATTGATTTAGAAGCGTCAAAATAGGGAAAGTTTGCTGTTGAATCCAATTTTTCATTGCCTTCATTTCGAGATTTCGCGACACTGTGCTGGAAATTACCAGATATATCTGGCATTTCGCAATTTCCTATTGCTCCAATAGAATACTTTTGTGCAGACGAAGGTCGATTATTATGAGACAATTGTTCTAACTTTTTAGGTTTATTCTGGACTTTTTTTGAGATTTGTTTTTTCAAAGGTTGCAAACGTAAATCAGCATATGAACTTTTGTTTAAGACAGTATTCTTTAAAAAATGTTTCAAAATATTATATATACACACATATAATATATACATATATATTATATGTGTATATATATATATATATATATATATATTATATGTGTGTATATATATATATATATATATATATATATATATATATACTATATATATATATATATATATATATATATATATATATATATATATATATATATATATATATATATATATATATATATATATATATATATATATATATATATATATATATATATATATACATATATGTATATATATATATATATTATATTATATATATATATATATATATATATATATATATATATATATATATATATATATATATATATATATATATATATATATATATATATATATATATATATATATATATGTATTATATTATATATATATATATATATATATATATATATATATATATATATATATATATATATATATATATATATATATATATTATTAAATATTTTTAAAGATTAGAAGTAGAGAATACTTATCCAAAAATGATTTAGATAAGTGTTCTTAATTATTATAACTCTGCTCTGTTTTTTAAGAATATTGAGCATTTTTTTTGCAAAATACAAAAATTTAAATTAAAAAAAAAGAAAAAACTACGTAGTTTCTCGACTCAGAAATCAAACGACTATTGAAATAGTTGCAATTTATAAACTTTACTTTCTGTTGATTCAATACCTAAAAAAAAAATATCACGGTTTTGGGTATTTAGAATTCCACCAGTTTAACTAGCTTAAATCTTGGGTAAAACCACCTGTACTATTTCGAACATTTCGACCGTTTAAAGCTTTAAAAAATTGTCCCGCAGATTTTCTCGTTTATTCATATAAGTTAAATAAAACGGAATGGTTTATTTTAATAATAAAATAATTTTACTTTAAAATAAAAACTACTTCATCCGGCAATATTTTGCTTTGTCATTATAAATGTATTATCTTATCTATAAACAACCATGGAATTTTATTATAAACTTTACTGTTTTTAAAATATGGATAAAACTGTAATGCAATTGTAGCATAAGCCAAACAAGCAAAAGCAAAACCTACCAAACTTAAGTCGCAAAAATAGTAGTATGTGTTAAAAAAAGGAGATACAACTTCACAACAATGTGAAAGAGGTTTAAATAGCTCTAAAGCCCTCACTGACCTAGAAAAAAGTAATTCGAGGGTGTCTGATTCTGGGTAGATTAAAAAAAATGTTACTTTGGAATTCTCAATTTTTCCTGCCAAACATCAGGTTCTTCAGGCTAACATCTTAGATTTTAATGGATCTCAAATCTTCATTGACTTGATTGATTATTGATTGATCACGAAGAAAAAGATCATATTTTCAATTTTCACTGAGCCTTATGACCTTTGTATTTGATAGTGATTTTTGTATTTGTTTTGTCTTAAATTTATTTAAGTCATTCACAGCATTATACTTAGTATTTTAAAATTAAGGCAATTATAGTTTTTAATGAAACTAGTGGTTTTACCCTTAAAAAGGATTAAAAAATAAGTTACTTTACCTGTTCAGTGGACAACTTTGGAACTTCACACAAATTTCTAAAATTTATGTAAAACATTTATTTCTATTAAAATTTCATGAGAATTTGCTAAAAAACAGCTGCTTTATAAATGAAATAAAATATATTCCTACTTGTCTGGATAATTTTTCTTTGGAAAATATGAACTTTTCTAAAATTAAAAAATTTAAATTAAATTAAAAGGAAAATATTGACATATTTTATTTTACAAAAAACTGATATATTTTAATTATTTAACCTTTATTTGAAGATCAGTAATCAATAAAAATAATGACCTGATAAACAAAATGAATAACACATGATAATAATAAAATATAAATAAGATACAATAATAGAACACCTAAATAAAACTGATAATTATAAAAAACTAATAAATGATGACAAATCAAATGAAAATAACTATAATAATAAAAATAGAAATTTGCATACTTTTTTGTTGTTGTGATTTTTAATAAATGCTAAAATAAAATTAAAATAAAAAATATTTTAAACCTGACTTTGGCCAAATTTATTTTTGTAAGGAAGTGGTTGATTATCGATCATCTTTTGACGCCTTTAATGTAAAACATTAAAAAAGTAATACACAAAACAAGATTTTCCCCTTTGAAAATTAAAAATAAAAATTAACTTACGCTAACACAGATACAAATTGAGATTGATTTATAAATTCGTTAATCTTATCTTCTACTTCAGCTACTAATAAAAAATTTATTGTAATGAACTAACTGCAACAAGTCTGTTTTTAGTTTATATCAGAAATACCACAACTAATAAAACACAATACACTTTAAAACTTAAAAAACTTAAACAAAAAAAAATACTAAAAATAAACTTGCATTTTTGATGCCTTGACAATGTTCTAAGTTTTTCTAGTTGACCCAAGCTCTGAATTAAATTCATATATTGATTTAAATAATAATAATGTTCATTTATAATGCTAAAATTTATATAAATAACATAATAAATGTTCATTTATAATGCTAAAATTTATATTACGAGTATTTGAAAAACACTTAACAAAATTTTATAAACAAAAAAAGTCAAAATCACTATAAATAACATACTTCATCATACTCAGTCTTTTCTGTGAATTTTGGTTGATTAGCTAATTCAGAAATATTTCTATTGTCACTATTAAGTTTAACTGGTTGTTGATTGTAGTTAGAACTAATGAGGTTAGACATTTGTGACAAAGAAGTAGCACCCAAGAAAGCTTTAATAGACCCTACCCTAGATTTATCATTAACATTATACTTAGCAACTAATGACTGTTTTTTCGGTTTGTTCAACACAACCATTTTTTCTGTTTGATGTACTAGTGTATTATTTCCATGCATTTCATCAAGTTCTTCATCACTTGTTTCATCATTGTTTGTACTGTGAAAAGCAAAATTATTTTTTAATGCTAATGTAGAATTTTTCCTTTGAGATTTTTCACTTGGACTGTGTGTAAATTTAGTCACTGAAACTGAATCTTTCTTAGGTAAGTTTAGTTGTTTTGAGGTGCTTATTTCAACCTCAGGCCATTGTTCATCTGTTTCCTCAAAGCTGCTGTTGCTATCCTGTGAATTTACAACATTCTTATGGTTTTCATTAAAAGCATAGTGTTCAGCACATTCATCAATTGTAGGACGTTTACTTGGTTCAAGCTGAAGTACCCACTCCATAAATTCAATTAAATCTGGACTTAAAACTTGGGAATAGCGTTTTGCTAGTGTTAGAGCCCCGTTTATTGTGGGAAACTTTAAACCACGAAACCTAGGGTTTATATTGAATAGATGCATTTGAGATGGAGGAAGTGGTCCAATAAGTTTTTGTATAACATACAGTTGGTCGATTTCACTTTCTCCTGGAAACACTGGCTGTCCATCACTTAATTCTCCTAGTATGCAACCAATGGACCATATATCAACAGCTTTTCCATATCCACCTCTATAAAAAAAATATAAAAAAATATAAAATATAAAAAGAGTACTAAAAAGATTAGAGTAAAAAATATTTAAAAATTGACCTTTTGAATATATCTTATTTATTAATTAATAGCTTTCCATAAAATTAAAATACTGTTTTGAAAGTCACTTTTTTCTTAACACATTGCAAAACATTTTAAAAGGGTTTCAAATATTTAAAAAAAAATACTGACCTTTATACTTTTTTTTATTAATTTGTTTTTTTAAATTTTTTTCTTATCACTGAATACCCTATTTTTTTTTTTTTTGCTGATTCATTCAGTGTTTTCAAAGAGCACCAAAGACAAAATAATTTTTTTTAATTATATTTTTATTTCAGTGCCACTAAATTAAATTAAAATACTAAACATAATACACTAAACTAAATTAAAAACCAAAATATTTTTTAACTATACCTTCATAACGTGCACTAAAAACAATTGCCTGTTACTTAATCTATGCGTGCAATTGTTTCCATATGGATCATAATGACTTTATGTATGGGTGCAATCGCTTCAATATAGATTATAATATATTGCAAATGCTTAAAGGTGCAGAGATATTATAGTTCAATATAGAATTTAATTGAGCATTGGGAGAGAGACTTCACTGAGTAAAGAGGTGGATTAAATGTAATTAATATGGAGTTAAAAACAAAAAGTGCTAATAAGAAAAAAAAGTAAGCAAAATAGTAATCAATACACCACTCTAACACTATATATTTTTTTATGTTATTCACCTCCCTAAGACCATGAGAGCCACTGCAGTATAGGAGGCTATATTAAAGTGGTTAGAACTCTCTCTTAACTCTCTAACTATTAAACACGAACCTTGACAAACAAGGTTGAGCAAGGTACTTCTAGGGGCATGTCTTTCCACTTCTGCATTAAGTATAAACATATTAGGTTTTTACATTCCAATTCCAACCACAACTCTGACAGGACTTTTTGGTTCTTGTTCGGGTATTGTTAAAGATTTCCGTTCCAGACAAAATTTCTGTTCAAAATGTTACCGAAAATAGATATCTTAAAGCTTTATTAAGTATTATCATTTTGATAAAATAATTAAAAAAAAAAGTTTTTTAAATTAAATGATAAGCTTGAGAAGTAACGAAAATAAGATTTTGCTTTGTTTGAAAACAAAATAATTTTCTTGTTTAAATTAATATTCATATCTTGTAAATTTTTTTTTATTGTTATTATTAGAAAGATATTATATTGTTTTTATGAGTATAACTTTTATATATATATATATATATATATATATATATATATATATATATATATATATATATATATATATATATATATATTAAATATATTAATTAATTTATATATGTATTAATTAATTTTAAAAATCCAACTTTTATCTTAATTTTATCATAGTTAATTAAAGTTAATTAAAGCTTTAGAAACAACCTCTAGCGATATTAGTGTTCAGGAGTTGAAAATTGCTATGAAAAATGCAATGGAAAAACGCTTTTCTGCAAGTGAAAAAACAGAACATTATTCAGTTACTACTCAATCCAAGATACAAATGATATTTTTTCAGATCTCAAGGTGCTTTATAAATTTTGTGCATAAATTTTAAATAGATTATTGTTAAATCTATTTTAATACAAATTATGCCTCAAAACAACTTGCATGCAAAGAAAAAAGAAAAACTACACACCAAAGAGCAAGTTGCACTTGCAGTGATTAAAGTACTAAGAGGTGAATTTTCACTTACAAATCTGCTAAATCATTCAGAATACCAGTCGCATCTCTTCACAGACGTGTCCACAGCATAGGTAAAACAATTGGCAGTGGTTCAAGCACAAGATTGTCAAAACAACTTGAATCAGTTTGGTAGATACGCTCATCATTATTAGATTGGGGCTCCGGTAGAATTTACAATAACGCCATCACACTAGTTACCGACTATTTGCAACACAAAGGTAAATCTCATTTGTTTCCTAATGGTACACCAGAAAGAGATTGGTATAACCTTTTCATAAATTGGTGGAGTCATAGGTTGAGCATCAGAGCCACAGGCAGTATTTCATCACTCAGAGCTGCTTCTTGCACACAAGAAATAGTAGCAAAGTATTTCAACACACTGAAAAGAGAATTTAACGTAGCAGATATCAACATATCAACTCCATGTCATTTGTGGAATTTTGATGAAATTGGCTTCTCTGGTGATCAAGTTAAGCAAAATATAGTTTGCTGGAGTGGTGCAAAATAACCATTGAAATTGGTTAGCAACAATGAAAAAATCCATTATACAGTTGGAAATTGCATTAATGCTGCTGGTAATTGTCTTGTTCTATACTGATGATGCCATATATGCTATATCTAGATAAGATAAGCAATTTCTGCAGTGACTCATTAACTTATATGTTCAATTTCTGCAGTGACTCACTAACGTATAAAGTGATTTCCTGCTTAGACTCTTCTACAGCTTGTGGCCTGGACAATATACCTGTTATAGTCTTGCAGAAGTGTTCTCAGAGTCTTGTTTTGCAGCATGCTAGAAAGCGGCATCTGTTATCCCTATTTTTAAAAATTCTTGAGAGCTGATTTGTCTAACTACTGTTCCATTAGTTTTCTTCCTATCATAAGCAATCTAATAACTTTCTTTCTGATCAATATGGATTTCGATCTTCTTGTTCTACGGCTGATTTGCTAACAGTAATAACCAATAGGTTTTATCGTGCATTAGATAAAGGTGGAGAGGTTAAGGTCATTGCTCTTGACATTCCTAAAGCATTTGATAAAGTTTGGCATGTTGGTCTTCTCCATAAGCTTTCTTCTTACAGTGTATCTGGAAACATCTTTAAGATTATTGAATCCTTCCTTTCCAATCATAGTATAAAAGTTGTCCTTGATGGACAGCACTCTTCTTCTTATTCTGTAACCTCAGGGGTTCCTCAAGGTTCAATCCTTGGCCCTATACTCTTTTTAATTTACATTAACGATCTTCCAGATATTCTCACATCTAAGGTGGCATTGTTCGCTGATGATACTACCATTCATTCTTCTCATGATAAAAAGTCAACACTCTCTGATTGTTTGGAGGGGGCATTTGAGCTTGAAAAAGATCTCACTTCTGCTAAAGCATGAGGCTTACAGTGGCTGGTGAAATTTAATTTAGATAAAACCTAATTTTTTTCAGCCAATCATTATCGCAATAATTTAGACCTTTCTATATTTATGAACGGTAATGTAGTTGATGAGTCTTCTACCCTTCATCTTCTAGGATTAACTCTTACTTCCGATCTTTCTTGGAAACCACATATCAAATCCGTTGCAAAATTAGCATCTGTTAAAGTTGCATCTCTTTATTGAGCTTGACACTTTCTTACTCTGGATTCTATTCTCTATAAATCTCAAATCCGGCCTTGTATGGGGGCAAATCTTCTAATGATGCCCTTTCTCTTTTAGACAAGATGCAAAAATTCAAATATAAACATAGTTGGACCTGCTCTTGCAGCCAACCTTCAACTATTATCACATCGTCGTAATGTTGCTTCTCTTTTTTTTCTTCTGCAAATACTATATTGGAAACTGCTCTAAAGAGCAAGCGTCTCTTGTGCCATCTACTTAAATTCATTCTTGTGTTACTCGTCATTCAATTAAGTCTCGCCCTTTTTCTGTGACTGTTCCCAAGTGCTCCAAAAACTTATTACTCAATTTTTTTTCCTCGAACATCAGTTTTTTGGAATTCGCTTTCGTCATCTTGCTTTCCTGATTCATATAATTTGCAATCTTTTAAGTTGTCTGTCAATCTTGCTCTACAATCTTCATCTTTTCTCTTCCAGTAACTTTCAACTCTAATTAGCGGTTGCTTGCAGCCTTGTTGGAAGCAAAGATGTTTAAAAAAAATATATATTATTATATTTGACACAAAAGTATTTGATATTCTAACATTTTGAATTTAATTTGATGTTTTCTAATTTTAAATGTATTAGTCATTAATAAGTAGATTGTGATTATTACTCTAGTTTTTTTGTTCGAAATCGAAGCTGTTATTGAAGCTGTTATTGAAGTTTTAGATTAACAAATTATACTAAATAAAATATCATGCCAGATATTTAATTTTTAAAAATTTAGAATTGTTATTGAAGCGTTGTAAGTTTTGATATTTTATTACATAGACTTTTATGCAATTCAAAGTAAAAGTCCTAGTTAAGCAAAGTTTTAATGTCAAATGGACCTAAAAAAACTGTGCCAGTTAGCAAATGGTTTGACTTGGGTAAAGGGCACAATTAAGGAATAATATGATAAAGTTCAATAGAAATTTAAAAAAAAACGCCATGCTGGCATTTTTTTTAGAGCCTAATATATATATACATATATACATATATACATATATATATATATATATATATATATATATATATATATATATATATATATATATATATATATATATTTATATGTATATATATATATATATATATATATATATATATATATATATATATATATATATATATATATATATATATATATATATATATATATATATATATATATATATATATATATAAATAGATATAGATATATATAAAAGAATATTAGTAAAGAGTATTAACAAACATATTCAAACAAATACTTAAACAATAAAAATACTTAAATATATTGGAAACAATTTTTCAATATTAGGTTACAAAAATAAATACCCAAGAAGTAATTCAGGGCTTCTATACCACCTAGTAGCAACATAATCTGTATATTGACCATTGGCAGTACCTGACACGGCTCTTGCAAACCCAAAATCACACAATTTTAATGTGCCCGTGTTGCTTATAAGTAAATTCTCAGGTTTAATATCTAAAAAAAATTATAGACTATTGTAATCTATTATGAAAATATTTTCACATAAAACTAAGTATTCTGCTCTAGAAAAATAGTCAAGAGATCAATAAAAAACTAAAAAGCCAATAAATATTGGTAAAAAGGTAAACTAGTAGATAATAAAAATATCTAAGTAATTTAAAAAATCAAAAGTTATTTATAGAGCTCAGTAAAGCTCAGTATAATCAGATAGAGGTGGTGAGGCAAGGGCTATTGCTCTTGACATTTCAAAAGCTTTGAAAAATTTTGGCATACTGGTCTTCTCCATGAGCTTGATTCAAATGGTGTATCTGTGAATATTTTTGAGATTATTGAACCATTTCTTTCTAACTGCAGTATTAAAGTCATCCTAGAAGGCCAACAGTTTTCTTCATTTCCAGTCACTGAACCCTCTCATTGAGTCCTCTTCTTTATGTCTTCTTGGATTATCATTTACTACTGACATTTCTTTCTCTTTCAGACAAAGTCCAAAAATGCATTGTAAACGTAGTTGGACCCGGTCTATCTGTTAAGCTTGAGCCTCTTTCCCATTGTTGTAATGTTGTATCTCTTTCTCTTTTCTACAAATACTATTATGGCCGCTGCTCAAAGGAGCTTTTATTTCTAGTTCTATCAACCAAAACTCATTTTTACTTGACTCGTTATTCATTAAAGTCTCATTCTTTTACTATATCTGTTCCTGCATGCTCCAAAAACTTTTTTTTGTCTAGCTTTTTTCCCCACACTTCTACTCTCTCCAATCTTCATGCTTTCCTAACTCAAACAACCTTCAAATTTTCAAGTCTTCTGTCAAGAATTTTCTTACTACATAACTCTATTCTTTTTTTCTAGTTACTCCCAACTTAATAGTTGTTTGCTTGCAGCCTTGTTGGGAGTTAATCAGAATAATAATAATAATTAGAATAATTTGAATTTTCAGTATTCGATATCTAGATAGTCATTTATGTCATATAATTGGAAAACCTACCAATACCTTTCAAGTCTTCTGTCAACCGTTTCCTTGCACTTTAACACTATTTCTTGTTTTCTAGTAACTTCTATCAAACGAAACAAAACTAAAAATTGTTATCATTATTTTATGGCATTACTTTTACAAACCTCTATGAATAACATCATTTTTATGACACCATTGAACTGCTTTATTGAGCTGCCTAATGTAACTCCTAAATTAAAATATAAATAACACATTAAGAAAAGTATATAAACTTTTTTATCATCTTTTTTTTAAAAACACTGCCAGGTTTTCAAATTTTCAGACTTTTCTTGGAATTATGTTGTTTTATGTAACGTCATTTTAGTTAGCACAATTTTTTCATTGATTAGCACAATAATTTATACCATTTTATTCTAATAATAAATTATAGTAGTATTAATTACAGGAATGGTTAGGAAAACTAATTTTAATTTTATTTTCATTTATTGAAAATAAAAAGTAATTGTTCCAATATATATATATATATATATATATATATATATATATATTATATATATATATATATATATATATATATATATATATATATATATATATATATATATATATATATATATATATATATATATATATATATATATATATATATATATATGTATATATATATATATATATATATATATATATACATATATACATATATATATATATACATATATATATAAATATATATATATATATATATATATATATATATATATATATATATATATATATATATATATATATATATATATATATATATATATATATATATATATATATATATATATATATATATATATATGCACAACTGTCAGGATTAGGAAAAATAAGGTCGGCAATAATTTGTTAACCTCAATCTTTAAGAGGTTGACATCAGGTCTGCAAAAAAAACTATAAAGAAAATATTTTACAGAAAGTTGGGAGTTGTTATAACTAATTATGTAGCTGTAGTTATTTTAGAACCAGGAAGTTGCATCACCTACATTAAAATTAAAAAATTATTCATGAAAAGAATTCTTTAGAATTAGCATAATTTTGGTCTGGTTATTTGTTTTTATAATTTTTTAAAAAGTACTTATTTTCATAATTGTTATAATTAATTTATAATTATTTGTAACAATTCCCAACTTCCTGTGAAATATTTTCTCTATCATATATATATATATATATATATATATATATATATATATATATATATATATATATATATATATATATATATATATACATATATATATATATATATATATATATATATATATATATATATATATATATATATATATATATATATATATATATATATATATATATATATATATATTTATATATGTATATATGGATCAAAAAGACAAAAGTTATAAAAAGTGTATAAAATGAAAAAATATAAGAGCAAACCAATTTTAAAGAAAAATGATGAGAGAAATAAAATTATGCTGAAAAATATTTACTTATTAAGTCTAAAAAATACCCTGATTCTGAAAATGTAGACTTAAATGAGGTAGATGAAGATTTTAAGGAATAAAATTTGAAAAGAAAAAATAATGGTGATTTTGTAACTTTTGAAGTTTTTTTTCTCTTTTAATTTATTCTGATTCACTACCAACAAGGCTGCAACCAACCACTATTAAGTTGGGAGTTACTAAACAAAGATTAGAGTTAAAGAGCAAGTAGACGGTTAACAGAAGACTTGAAGCAATGTTGTATGTTGTATGAGTCAGGAAAACATGAAGATGTTCCAAAGTGTTGAAGCGAGCTAGAAAAACTAGATGAATTAAAGTTTTTAAACTAAATAAGACTTTGCTGAATGAGTCAAGTAAGAATGAGTTTTGGTTATTAACCATTAGTTGTTAATGGAACTAGATGTGATAGCTCCTTTGAGGAGCGACCGTGATATTACTTGTAGAAAAGAGAAAGAGATACAACGATTTTTGTGACTATTATATATATATAAATATATATATATATATATATATATATATATATATATATATATATATATATATATATATATAAATGTTATTTAATCAAAAAATGTTTAAAAAATATTTTTTAGTTTTCAAAATAAAGGATTAAAAATCTCCATATTACTTCTACTTACTTCAATTGAACTAGAGGTACTCCACTCGGCATCTTCTCTAAACACTCAAGCATATTCTAAAAATTGTTTTACAATTAGACAGTTGATGTCTTTTTTATAAATCTTTAGACAATTAAAAAAGAATTCATTTTCTAATTTCAAACTCTCACTTTCAGACAATAAAAAAATAATAAATTTTCCTTATTTCAACTCTTTCCTATTAAAGTATTAAAAATTAATTAATTTGGAATTTAAAAATTTTACTTTTAAACAATTAAAAAAAATTAATTTTCTTAATTTTAAATTCCTTCTTTCAGGCAGTTGAAATTAAAAAAAACAACAGTTAAAAATAATATGTGTATTCATTTAATGCTGTGCTTTTTAATAAACATGTCTGCATGCAAAACAGTATATTAGGAAGTATAACTAATTGATCATATAGTTGTTAGAAAATTGTTAGAAAGCTGAGACAACATTGGAGGTGACAGTACATCCTTCTAAATAAACTTCCAAAATATGATTTAGCTTCGAAATAAAAATTTTTTATTTTCATTTTAAATTAATCTTTTTATTCTACCTTATTCTGATTTATATTTTAAATTTTGTACATATAATAATTTTTTATATATGTTAAATATATAATAGTATTATAAATAAGTATATATATATATTAAAAGTTATTATAAAATAAGAAAATATCTTACATACGTAAATGGTTAGAGTAATTTGCTTTTTTAAAATGTCTTAAATGATTTAAACATACTGGTTGACTGCTTCTTAAAAATTAGGTATAAGAACTTAACTTGAAGTCAACTAGCAAAGTGAAACATGTTTTTAAAAAACATGTTCCACTTTATCATAACTAATATCTTCTTAAATACTATCATCATTATTCACAACAGCTCTCAGAACTGTTAAAAAGTATGCACTTGTCTTAGAGATCACAACTCTTTTTCAATATTATATAATATTTGGTGCAATATAATCAAAAAAAATTTTATACTCTCAGTATATTTACCTCCCCAAAACCTAGGGAGCCACTATAGTCAAGGATGCTGTTTATTCTTTTCTCAAAATTGTTGTTATACCTCTTTCTTATAGCCACAACTTTGGGCCTTAATGAACAAGGTTTATTACATGGAGAAACTGATTAAGTTTAGTACTTGCAGTGATATGGTGCATTTTAGTACTGTATCATTTTCTTACATGGCAAGCGCTTTACTACAGCCTCAAAATTATTTACCAGTGCAATATCTTGTTATAACATTCATTCTGGTTATATATACATAATGGTTTAGTGCTTTATTTGTCTAGAGTATAATCATGTAATGCAAACTTGTTGTCATAAATCTTATTTCCTCATACTCACTTTCTTCACTATCCCTCATTTCTGAAGTAAGTTTGAAGAATATTATTGCTTATTCTTTGTGCCATTCTTTCTTTTCTGTATCATTTCAAGATTAAGTTTCTTTTGTCAATGGTTATAATGTCTGTCATATTCATGACAGTTTTTTAATCAAACCAAGTACTTCATTAAATAATACAAAAAGAGTTTTTGTAGCTAAAATATAATAGAAACTTTTTTTATTAACAAAGCTGTTGATAGATTCTATTATATATATTTTAAAATTAATATTAGCTTTTTAGCTCATTCCTTTATTTTCAAATTTCTTAAATTTAATTTAACTCTTATTTCATTTTTATTTTAATGATTGTAACATTTAAAATTTTTAAATATGCTGAAAATTAAGATGACTGTATTTAAAATAACTTTTCAAACATGTTGAAAGAAAAAAAAAACTTGAACTCACCCAAATAAATAATGTAAAATAAAAATCCTCTGGAAAATGTTTATCTGCTATCTTTTATTGTTTATTGCCTAATTGTCTACAAATTTTCATTTTTTATCACTTTTTTATCTAATCTGTACTTTTTACTTTTTAAATCTGAAGCTGCCCTTTTTACAAAGGGCAGCTTCAGATTTTTTATACAGATCAAAAACACCACCTTCTCACTTCCTAACATTCTCAATTTTTAACCTTCTACAAATTGTATATTTAATAATAAAATACAATGTAAAAAAACTAAATAATTATTTACTTTATAATTTTAAATTTCTTTATAATAATAAATTTCAGAATTCCTTATTAAAGATTGAAAAAAATTAAATGATGGTCTCTATTCTGCTGATCAAGTAAAAAATTAGCATTTTGTATATCAAGATGTCAAATATTTTTATTTAGCGAATAAATAGCATCAGGTTTTTCATTTTTCCCTCTTTAACTTTTTTATGTTCAAAGTTTGAAGACTGTGCCACTAGTCAGCCCCAGAATTCATCAACATTTAGCAATCAGCATTCAGTATCTAAGGTCTGTGGTTTTTTGCCAACTTTGTTTCTATTTTGTTATGGTGAAACCTTTGTATCAAAAATTTTGCTCCAACATGATGGCAACCAATATACTGCTGACCTAATTTTTCTAATTCTGAGGGTTGGTCACTAGTTAATATTAAAACTGTTTTTTTAATTTCTTATTTAACATCATTAAATTTTTTCATTATTAAAAAAATTATACTTTTTTTTTTTTGACTTGAAGTACTCCAATTTAAAGTAAATCACACTTTAAAACTCATTCTATTCATTTTATACAGCATTTGCTATTTTTTGTTCTAGCTTACATATAATATTATACAAAAATATATTATAAAATTAGACAATTATTTTGATTGACAAAAGAAAAAGAAAATTAACAAAAACATCAAATATAACCGTATATTTTGTTAAACAAGGTTTTAGAGTTTTGAGAGAGATGTAAACAAAATGTATTAATCTAATAACAAAATATAACTATGAAATAATCTGATAATAAATTACAACCATGAAATAATCTAATAACAAAATATAATCATGTAATAATATAATAACAAAATATAAAGATGTAATAATCTAATAACAAAATATAACCATGTAATAATCCAATAATAAATTATAACCATGTAATAATCTAATAATAAAAGCAATAGTAATGGTAAAATTTTTAAACAATTAGCATAACTCATAGTAAAAAGATGTATTAAAAAACATAATTTAATAAAAATTGAATGTTATAAATATACTAAACAAAAACATTATATGTGAGAAACGTAACAAAATGGAAAATAAATAATGTAAAGACAAAGTACATGTGTATATATATCATATACTTAATGTATATCTATATATATCTATATATATCTATATATATCTATATATATCTATATATATATATATATATATATATATATATATATATATATATATATATATATATATATATATATATATATATATATATATATATATATAAGAAAAAAAGAAAACTTAATGCAAAATATAAGTAAAAACTCTATTTATATGTATATATAAAAACAAAAAAGATAAGGGCTGAAAGATAATGAAAAATATTGGTCATATAAGATCCAATAAGATTTAAGTAATGGAATAGCATAGGTGAAACTCCATCTTTAGAGCCACAATACTTTCACCATTAATGTTTAACTATATACAATATTGAGGAGATCTTTAAGATTTAAGAGGTTGAGACCCCAAAATGTATCTAGAACCCTCAGAATTAGGAAAAATGAGGTCAGCAATAATTTGCCAACCTCAATCTTTTTTTGTCGGCAAAATTTATTTGATACAAAGGTGTCAAACCTTTGTATCAAATAAATTTTGCTAAATAAAACATAGAATCGAGGTCGGCAATTTTTTGTCGACCTCAAGCACTTTGAAGTCGGTCAGTTAGGTCAACATTGCCGAATGCCGACCCTAATTCCAAGGGTTGTATCGATCTATACTATATACATATATATCAGCTCACAATCAAGAGATCACAATCAAGGTTCAAATTTACGCCTGCCTCTGGAAGTACTCAATCTGTTCCTCTGGAAGTACCATGTTTAATCTTTTTCTGAGTTTTATTTGGGTTAAATTCACCAACCATTGCAAATCAATTACCTATCACTCTTAGAAATCATTTTCAAGATTTTAATTAAAGTTTTTAATATGTGAAAAGCAACAGCTTATGCCTTTCAATAATATTTGTATGTAGTGAATAAATATCATCAACGTATCTATCTATATAGTATAGATAGATAATACACAATAAAATCCAATATCACAAGTCAACAGTAGAACATAAGGATCAAAATTTGTATTGATCATCATTGAGTTGTTGTACTTATAACAATATATCAGAGAGAGTATCGAATAGATTTCTGGAGAACACTTTTGTAAGACTGTGACAGGAAAGTTATCGTGACCAGAAGATGTTTAACAAGATGTTTAACAAGATGTTAAAGAACTTATATGAGAAATAATTTTAGCTACTAAAGATTTGAACAAAAAGTTCTAAAAATCTTTGATTTTGTTTAAAAATTCTAAAAATCTAAAAATGAATTAACCTGATTCTCTGAATTAACAGGACGAGTGTTGTTGTTTCCGAATTAAATTTTAGGAAATAAGATTTAGTAATCTGATAATGAACTTTAACAAGTTTACTTTTTTACCTCACTTTTTTGTGAGGCAAAAAAAGTAAACTTGTAACAGTGATTTTTTTTATCATTTGCAATTATAAAAAGAATCACTGATATGATGAAAGAACCATACTATATTGTTGGGTTTGACTTAAAATCAATGAGAAGAAATGAAAGCATCCATGCCTGCCTGAATCGAGTATATTACATAAGAGGCACAACTTATGCAGAAATAAAAGTCATCAGCCTAAAGACTATCACAAAAGTCACAAATTAAATCCTAGTCAATCTTAAGGCAGTAAGAAATGCTTTTATAGAATCTGATATAGAATAAGTATGAAATTAAAGTTTTAGTAAGTTAATAGAGTGGTGTGAATCACCTTAAGCAGAACAAGAAGAAACTGATAATAATAATTAAATAATAATATTTTAAAATATTTTTAAAAATAATTCATTTGAATACCTTTTCTACATATTCAAAGACAAGATATAATTTCCCTCGCTTTCTAAATGATTCCCTAATAGAATAAATATTTAATCAAATAGAAAATTTCTTGAACTTGATAAGATTTTTTAACAAATAACTCTTAAAATATCAAGGAACGAAGCACATTAAAGTAGTAAGAACTGAAATAAGTAATTATGAGTGATTAAATAAGCATGTAAACCATAGCTATCCAAGAATTTAAAACTTAAAAAAATATCCTTCATAGCTAACTGCTATCAAAAGAACTGCTCTAAATAGCATAGACAAACTTTAATTATAACTACAAGTTAAAACAAATATAACACCAGTTATTACCTAAGTTCTACAATATTTTCTTGTTTCAACATTCTAAGGACTTTTAGTTCGCGCAAAGTTGTGCGTTTCACATCATCACTTTCTAAAAAAATATTTAATATTTAAACATTTGTATATCAAAACTGAATTTAGTAATAACATAATAAAATTACTCAAAAACCTAAAATTAATATTTACAGTAAAATTTTAAGACTTAAGTACTAACCTTTTCAAACATATTTTTCATAAAAAAACATTTTATAAACCTAAATTTTATTTATTTTAAATGCAATTGTACAATTAAGAAAGATAAACATTATTACAAACTAATTAAAGATAAGGCTAAGTATGCATGAGAGAAATACAAATAAAACAAATAACAAAAAAAAAAAAAGAAGCCTCACTTAACTGTAGCAGTTCTCATTGGAGCCTAAGGGAGGTCAATCTAATAAAAATAATATATATGTTTTTATGTTATTTACCTCTTTAAGTCCAAGAGAACCACTACAGTTATAGAGGCTGTATGTATATCAAACCTTCCTGGAAAGCGCATGCAATCACATGCCTTGTTCGTCCATGCTTAAAGTAATTTTTTTAGACAACTTGACCACATTTTTATATAGTAAGAGTTTAAAAATTTGTGGCAAAATAAGAAATCAAAGAGAATAAAACAGCAATACTTGAAGAAAAAAACTGAAGACTATACGAAATAGAAAATCTAAATAAAATAAGCTAAAAAAATGGAATAATAAAAAAAGAAAGTTGTTGTCAAAAAATTTTTTTTTAGGACGTTTGTTGTTTTCCTCTACCAAAATTAATACAAGTTGAGGAAAAAAGTAGATAAGAATATAACAAAAATAAAAATACTTTTCGATACATAATTCGCGGTCAGTTTATTAAGAAAATACTTTACAATTTGCACTAGAAAAATGGATGATTTTTAAATTTGTTTTTAAAATAGTTTTTCTAAACCTTACTGTTTTTATCAATGCACAGGAAAGTGAGAAAACTAATTGCTATTTATTTCTAAAAAAAAATTTTTTTTTTTTTTAAATCAGTTTTTTTATTTTTAAAAATAAAAAGTCATTACTACTAATATTTAAATATAAAATATTTGGTTGTTTTCAATGCTCCCATTGAAATAGTTATGTAGGATTATCCAAATTGTGCATTTAATTCTGATAGATTATTTTCAGATGAACTATTATTATTGGCAATGCTCCAAAAGCTTGTGGGTTAGTGCATTGTTAATTTACTGAACTTTTTTAACAAAATGTTTAGAGGCCTATTTAAAACTTTTTTTTCAAAAATTTAAATACATTTTTTTAAACAGAGCAATCATTATGTTCATTATCTTTAGTAATTCATATTAACATTGAAATTGGGTAATATAAAAGAAACAATTCAGACATGCATCAAATGGAGTAAATACATTTATTAAAGAAACCATGTTATTCATTTAATTAACTTATTCTGTCATTACAAAATTTATTAATCAAATAATATATTTTACAAATAAATAACAATTTGTTTTCTTATTTTTATATTATATAAGTATTGAGAAAAAAACGCCAAATATAGCAAAAACATTTTTGAAAGTGAAAAGTTGTACAAAACCAATAAACTTAAGAAAAAAATTGACAAATTTCTCATAGTTTTAGCGTTTGTAGCAAATTAGTTTCTTAATTATATGGACTGATAAAAACCGTGAATAAATTGCATATCAAAACTTTTAATTGTTGTTAAATCGTTATAAAAGATTTTTTTTTTCAATAAAGATTCTAAAATAAAAGAATACAAAAGTTGTATAAAAATTTTATAGAAAAAAACAACTTTTATATACATTTTTTAATTATTAAATTTTCTAGTTTTTTAATTAAACTTGATATTTCGTTACAATTTTGTTTCTTTTTTTTAGGATGCCACAAATTATTGAAACGCTTAATAAGTTAAAATATGCAAACTGCTGTGGTCAGTTTTTCTAAAAATAATAACTTTAAATGTGGACAAACAAGGCATGCAACCGCCTTGGTATGTATATTTAGTTTGGTATATATATTTAGAGGCTTGGTATATGTATTTAGAGGCTTTGTATATATATTTAGTTTTTGCCAGCAATAAATTTGTCAAGCTCATGATTTGGAGTTATATAGTTAAAGGATAGTAGTAAAAAAGTTCCAAAAAAAGTCTTGTAAAAATTTTGTAGAAAAATATTTTTTTGTAAAAACTTAAAAAAATTTAAAACAAACCTTCACTATCTTTAAACTTCTTAATAGCAACTATGTCATTGGTTTCCTAGAAAAATTAATTGCTAAAATAACAGAAAAATTTTAAATATGAAACTAAATATAATGGATTTATTTAAAAGAGTATTTAAAACTTTCATATAGCTCAATAGCAAGTGTGCCATATTACATTGTATCCCACAACTTAGTGTGCCATATCACATTGAATTATTAAATTACCAAATGGGGAAAAAAACATTCTTCATTTTTACTAGGTTTAAGATTTTTTTGAAGATTTTTTTGAAGATTTTTTCTTTCTCTTAAGCTATAAAAGGTTTTGCATCTATCTTGCGTTGCAGTAACACAAATTAAAATTTGTTTCTTTAGTTGCTAGGTTGTTGGGAAGTATTTTGCAATAGAGTTACATTTGCTGTTTAAGTTGCTGTTTAGTCAATGGAAATGAAAAAAATGAAGAGTTATAAAGTTACATTCAAAATAATATTTGATACTATAAGTAGAATAAAAGTTTTATGTTTTATTAGATTATATAAAGTTAAGTTTAAATAGATTATATAAAGATTTATATTACAAAAGTTTGCAACTTTAATTTTAACTTTTTTAGTTCATTAAGAAATAAGATTAATAAATAAGAAATAGAGGCATTAACATCAGTTAATCAACCTATCTATTATGTTACTTTAAGCAACTGATTTTTTTGTTAAGAATACTCAAGTCTTCATTATTTTAATAAAACTTCTTATATCTTTGTTTAGACAAAGCTTAAATACTACCATGATTAAATTTTAGTATTTATTTGTATTGAAAGTGGAATTTTAAGCAATTTAGTAGTAGAAATTTTCTTTATCTTTTGCACATTAAAACGTATGAATTTATATTTATGTATGAAACTATAATTAGTTTGTATATCATAATTAGTTTAATTCTAAAATAACCAAATGTTAGCATTATTTTTTATGTAACAGTTACTGCAATTAGATGGCATGATATGTTGAATTTTCTATAAAAAATAGTGCATTTGTGATTGTGTGCTTCTTATTATTAAACAAAGTTTATTACTTAACAACTGACAGAAATGATGCAGTACTATTTTTATCATTGTTTCATAAGTTATTTATCGCATTTAATTTGAAGTAGAAATTCAACACAGCTCAGCAAAACTGCTGTAAAAGGAGATAACAAATGCATACTTTATAGAGAAATTTTAAATTGGTTTGAAATTTGATCCATGTGTAAGTATTTTAAATAAAACAAACAAACTTCTTATACTTTTATCACAGCATTACATACCACTGAATTCCTATATTAATGATTTGCTTGAAGGTTATACATTTGCTCTTGTTTCCAGGTTACAAAGTGAATCTTTGAAGCTACACTTTAGTAAGTATAGACAAAGCAGCTGTGGTAGATATATTGTGAGTCTTTTAGAAGTATACAACAGTGAAAGTAATTTGGTAGTAGGAAGTAAGAAAGATATTAACTTCTAGGAAGAAAAAAATGTATCAAACATTTAGAAACTCTATTTTTGATAATATTATGCAAGACATTACTTTGTTCTTTATAGAAATATTAGTGTCAGCTTTCTGAAGATAGCATGGAAGTTGTTGTTTCTACATCAGGTTGTTGCTTAAAAAATGAAAAAATATGGGTGTCAAGCTTGGGGCTTGGTGATAAGACAAACTATGTCTTCTTCTTTCCCCTGCTATTTTTATTTATATTATGTTTGACAATTTGAATAAATTTATATGGCAAAAAAAAAATATTAATAATAAAAAATTAAAAAAAAAAAATTACTTGTGGTTAAAATAGTACCTACAGACTAAGATGTTCTTTATAATGAATACCTGAAAATACTATCTTGAGGCAGACTTAAATTCTCAAAGCAACCTCTTCTGATTTGTCATCTTTTAAGTATTCTAGACATTATTTCTCATATTCTAATCAAACACTGCAGTTATTCTTTTTAAATTGTTTTCAGGTTGCAAAAAATACCTTTTTTTTGAAGAAAAAAAGCAACCAAAACCGTATATATGGTAACCATATACAGGCTTGGTCGGGAAGCAGGTGAGATCGCACTCGATAATTGACCACAGAAATAATATTTAGTTGCGTAAAACCAGTCAGATTTTTTAGTCGTTTTGAGAACATTTTAAAAACAAACAAAAAAAGCGCAACAAGATTAACTGGACCGTTGAGAGACAGTTAAAAAAAGAAAACAGCTTTTAACAAAAAAAAACTTTAAGCAAAAAAATAGAATTAGAGCAAATATTTTTGAAACGTCGTTCTTTTATATTTTTTTATAAAATTAGACAACATTTTTTATATAAAGTAACAACTTACTATTAAAAAATATTCTGGATTAATTAATAATTATTTTGCGGACAAACAAGGAAACATATGTGAACTTGAATGTTCTCAAAACGACTAAAAAATCTGGCAGATTTTTTGCAACTTAATATTATTTCCGTGGTCAGTTATCAAGTGCGATCGCACCCGCTTCCGGACCAAGCCTGCGTATATAATATATATGGTTTTTTTTTAAAAAAACCCAAAATAAAACATGTTTTTTTTCGGTTCAAACTTATTTATTTATTTTTTTTAAATAAAATAAAAAAAAGCATTAGTCATTTTACTTGAGTAAATTATATTTATATTGAGTAAATAATATCTGACCCCGCCACCCCAAAAAAAAAAAAGAGGGAGGGGGTGTAAACTTTGCAAACAGTGCCCTCACATTTGGACAGGGAGGGTAAGTGTTTTAAAGCTTTTTTGTACCCAGGCCTCTGCCATTC